TCACGCTGTGAAGAGCAGCGTGGATATGTTGGTTTTTAGGGTACTGGCTTTATTTATTTATTTCTCATGTTACTGGATGCACATAGCCCTTCCCTGTTATTCAGAGCAAACATATGAAAGTTACAAGTTTGGCTTAGTTTCAGCTCCAGAATTACTGTAGTCTTATGTGTCAGTATTTTCATCAGCAGGTAGTGCTTTGAGTTATGGCTTGGGTACAGTTTAGAAAATCACTTGGACTTTATACTTCCTCAGTTGTTAATGTAAATGTTCTTGCTGTCATACTATGAATAATTGTGTAGCAATTAATTACCCTATGGAAGCCTATAGTATGTGGTACCTTCAAAGAAAGTGGTTTGGTAAGTAAGTAAAAGTAATTTTTTGAAACTGTTCAGCACTCTGCTTATAAAACAGCCCTGCCTGACATTGCTTGGCACAGAGTTAGGTGAACAGGGTCTCTCTTTGTTTACCAGTTTCTACAGCCAGGCTCACAGGCACAGGCTGTGAGCAGCCATTCTCACACAGTTAAAGAAGTGGTGCAGCTATGAGATAAGCATTGCTGACATTACTTTGTTCTGTTTATATGGAGTAGATCATAACAGTATTTATTGAACAGCAATGAGCATAACAAATGTGAAGTTTTAGCCTCCTATAAAGTAATTATTTTGTATCCAGCTTTTTGCACTCTCTACCTGAAGTTTCACAGTGAAAGATCTTGTGATACAAACTTTGATCTTCTCTCACACAAATGTTCCAGAAATATGCCATTTTGTAGATGTATGTAAACATAGCTACTGGGCAGGAGGTCACTTACACAACCAAAACTGCCATCACAAGATTCCAGAGACTGAGAAGTTTCATTTAATCAGTGCACAGCTTAATGTCATGGCTATCCAACTTGTGTTTACTCTGAAACATCTGTTTCCATTCATAGTGTGTCTCTGTATGTTTGACTGTCCATTCACTTCTTAAATCTAGTTAAAGAGCAGCTGTTGGCTACTGCTGACCAATATTGATTCATGCTGGCCAAACGAATCTTTTTTTTTTTCCTTTATTTGTAATGTTGTTGACAGGACTGACACAGCACAGAGCTGGCAGGAGTGTGAGTTGCAAGCAAACACCAGGGTTAGAGTTGCACATTTTAATCCATGTAGAGTTAGAGTAATAAAACCCCTGCTGGCTAGAGAAGCTCTCTCACTGTGTAGGGGAGACATTGTCTTAATGTTCAGATTATCAGATTCCAAGCAGACTTTGCTGAAATGATTTGAGTTTAACCAATGCCAAATAAGATTCCATGTCTGTGTCCTATGAAGTGGGTTTTTCTTACACCTTCCCCTCACCTCCCCCTCCACTTCACAGCAGAGCAGCTGTGTTGAGAGAAACCTGAATTGTGTGTGTTCTTGAGCCTTCCAAAGATTATAACCTCTTAAAATACAAGCTCTTGGATTCTCAGAATTCTGTTTATCTTTTCAGTTAAGGAAATGTATGACTATCAGGGGAGATCTTATCTTCATGTCCCTCAAGATGTTGGAGTTAATCTCCGTTCCACGGTGCCACCTGAGAAGTGCTATCTTCCAAAGAAACAAATCCATGTGTGGTCTGGACATACAAAGGTAGGCATGTTTGTAAGCAGACATCATAAAAACCCACTTAATTTTGTATCTGCAGCTAGTAACTTTTGGTATTAAAAGAGTTTCACTGATTACATTTGTAAAGCTTATACTCAATTGGCTGCTGCTTTTGTTACTGATTTTCGGTATTGCTTGAGGGAATATGCTGTGCTGCAATGGGCAGCACCTTAATAATATTGGAAAGATGGAAGAAAGGAGGACATGGGGAATGTTTTTAGCTTTTACCCTTTTTCAATTGAGTCACAGCTCTGAGCTCTTCTGTAATGATTGCTCTATCAAGGAGTTTATAGCTGCAGCTATCAGGGCTTTCCAGAATATCTCCTCCCAAAGCTCTAGTCACTCCTCTGCCTATTATCCTGTTACAACAGATTGATGCGTAAAATAGCTTATTCCTTCAAACGAGATGAATAATGATATGGATGAGAGAAGCAGAAGAAAGATGGGCTGGCAAATTTAGAAAAGTTGGAAGATATAAGTAGACAATAATACAGAGGATAAAGTACCCAACTCCGGCCAGGGGTGGGAGGGAGGAACTGGATGGCACATGAATAGAGTGGCATGAAATGGAAAGGAGAGACATCAAACCATGAGTAGCTGGGGGTTCTTTGGACTTCCTCTGAAAGGAGCACCTGAAATGGAGACTGATGGGAAGGTGATGTGCCCAGGGCATCTGAGTTCAGTGTGTAGAAACCACTGATAATATATGTAAGAAATTGAGCTGGCAAAAAAGCTTTTTTGTGGAAAAATTCCTTACCTGCCCTCCCTGAAAAGGCTTGTTATACAGAAACCATCACCCAAACCCACAGCTGCTATTTCTTTGCCGTGTTTGCCACAGTAATGGTGTGAATGTTGAAGGAGGGTGTATATACAGCTGTGAAAGTGAGTTAATTTGTTGCCAATGCCAATTGTTCAAAATGCATCACTGTTTCTAAAATGGAATGTGGATAGGTTACTTCTTTTCAAGATATGATACCTGTATATTTTATGAAGATAAGCTTTGTGCTAAGAGAGCAAGTGATCTGAGGAATATCTAGGTGTTCTACTTACTGTTTCATTATGTCCTTATTTACAGGGTGTCAGTGCAGTTAGATTGTTTCCTCTATCTGGGCATATACTGTTGTCTTGCTCTATGGATTGCAAAATTAAGGTGAGTTATTTTTCTGTTTTCATGTATATATTTTATACCATCCTTGAACACAGATAGTGCTTTTTAGGAAACATTAACATTTGGTAGTTCTGCCAAATAGCTTTTGTCTGTGTTACTTTTATTTTTCTCACTTGATTTTTAAATTACAAATTCATTGGAACAAAGGTAGAAATAATCCACGAGACTGTGGCTGTTAGAACAGTGCTCATCATTTAGTAATATCATTTAGAGGGTCACAAATTCCTGAGGTTATTGCCTTTGTTATTAATTAATTTTCTGTGGAGCCTGATTCTACAACTGACAATAGGTTTGTGCTGAAGTGTTTTACTGCAGCATTTGTGGTTGTGAACTAATCTCATTTGGTGAGCTGGTGAAGGGACTCGAGCACAAGTGCCATGAGCAGAGGCTGAGGGAGTTGGGATTGTTTAGCCTGGAGAAGAGGAGGCTCAGGGGTGACCTTACCACCCTCTACAACTCCCTGACTGGAGGTTGGAGTCAGGTGGGGGTTGGTCTCTTCTCCCAGGCAACCAGCAGGAGGACAAGAGAACACAGACTCAAGCTCTGCCAGGGGAGGGTTAGGTTGGATATTGGGAAGAGATTTTGTACAGAGAGAGTGATCAGGCATTGGAATGGGCTGCCCAGGGAGGTGGTGGATTCACCATCCCTGGAGGTTTTCCAGCTGAGACTGGATGTGGCACTTAGTGCCATGGTCTAGTGACCACAGTAGGGTTGGACTTGGTAACGTTGGACATGATTGTTTTGTCAAGGGCTGATTCATTTTAGTCCAGCATTTTTCATATTAGAAAGCTGATGTTGTTGGATTTTTTCAGTAGCAAAACCTTAAGGCTTGAAAGCTGGAATATGGTATGGGGGGTTTAGTTATTTTAAGGAGGTTTGCTAATGGGAAGCTGACAGCATTCTTGTGAATTTCTGGATAGATAGTTGTGATTAATCAGTAGATGTCATATGTTTGTTGTCATGTTTGTTTGCACTTAATTTCAGCATCATTATTAACAACTGACATATTTTCTCCCTATCTCTTTTTTCCAAGCTCTGGGAAGTCTATGGTGATCGAAGATGTCTACGAACATTTATTGGTAATAATCTTTTTTTAAACTGATTTATATTTGAAACAGCTTCATGGAAGGCTGTGATTTAGGTTAGCTCATTAATTTATCATACAGAGGACTTGTGGGCATCCAAGGCAAGTGGTGCTCAGTATGATCTTGGCAGTAAGAATTGAGAAAGGGACACATTTTTACTGAAGCTCTGTCATTATACATCAACATTAAATTGCTTGGAATAACAACTTACAACCCTTAAAGCAAAACATTAGTGCACTACAATCATCACTTTGTTCAAGACTCCTTTCCAAAGGCAGAATTGAGAAATTAAATTGCCCCATTTTCATGTTGCAAACAGCAGCTCTCTGTATTTATGCAGTGAGGGCATCTCATGCTCTCATGATCCCACCTTAAATAGGTCATTTCCTTGCTGAGTTTCTAGTGCAAAAGCATGGGAAATTTTTTTAGACTCAGGTGCTCTTTGTTCATGTAACAGGTGCTTTTTAAAGCAGATAGCTGAGAGAGAGAGAGAGAAATACAAACTTCTTAGCAGCCTTGAATGCAGAACAAAAGCAGCTGATTCTCCTTTTAAAATGGGAACATTTCTAGAACACTGGGTGAATATATGTTGAGTAACAATAAAGAAGTCTTTTTCACCTAATATTTCTGATGACAGCAGTGTGGCAAAGATGATGGGCTCAAAAAAGGCTTTCTCTCAATAGACTGCTCTTTCTGAACAGTTTGTTTTGCTCAAAAGGTCTTTATTATCAACCAGCCTTGTCTGCTATTTTGCTATATTTAAGTTACTGTGCCAGTATTTTAACTAAAGAGATCCTCTGCAAGTCTGATGCAGTGGTCAGATGAAAGTATTGAGGCTGAGGGGTGGCAAGGTTAACACCAGATGAAAACATTCTTAATTTTCTGATCTAATATTTCCCACATTTTGTACCTGTTTTCTAATTATGAATGTTTCTCCTTTAAATGTGTCTCCTGTAGTGTTTGTCTCTCCTCTTTTTCATTAGATGTTGACATTTCTTAGTGGTTTCAATTCCTGTTGAGGCACTGCTTTGTATCCATTTATGATGCACAGTGTGTGGTTCTGTGCAATGTTTTGTTTCTGTCTCCAGTGCTTTAAGGGTGTGAGGGTTTGGGGGTTTTATTCTCATTGTTCTCTTTAGGAGTTACTGTTCTTTCTCATGTGAATCTCTTTACTAGTTCTCATGAAGAACTCTGAGAAGTGCTTTTCTTGTTCTCTTTATGTTGTTAGATGTTGTGGGACATTTAACTTGAGTAACATTGTAGCTCTGAGCATGAATGGTTGAGTGTATGTTGCATTCTTTGCTATTTTGTAGGACACAGTAAGGCTGTTCGAGACATCTGTTTCAATAACGCAGGCACTCGGTTCCTCAGCGCTGCCTATGATCGCTACCTGAAGCTCTGGGACACTGAAACAGGTAGGCTTGGGTTTGCAGATGCTGTTATTTGGCATGATGATTAATTAATAGTGAATATAAAGATAGATTATCATTCAAGTTCTTTCCAGTTATCCTTAATGTTGTCTTGTAGTTTAGACATTCATTACATAAGTGTGTTTAGACTTTCATTACATGATAAATGGTCTTTGTTTTTTCTGTGTGTTTCCTTGTTATCTGTGATGGTGCAATTGACACTACCTATATACCTGTATTTAACATACCTTTTTATTTGGCAAGTTTGACAGTTATCTGCAATGCTAGAACAATTTTCAGCAAAAAGGCAACATTTTGCCCAATCATTTAATTGCATGTTTATATTCACAGGCATAAAATTACTCTTTAGATCTAAATAAGCTTAATTTAGAAGAATTATCTCGCTTGATCTTTCACTTAACCTGAACTTGAAGAATAAGAACAGGTAGTGGAAACTGAGCTTCTGGTATAGAGTTGGAGGGCAGGGCAGGTCTGATGCTCTCACAGAACTGCCTGGGAGATGCTCTGTAACATTCTGCTACAAATAGTTTCTTAAGTTAGTGTCCCTGCCCATGACAGGGAGGTTGGAACTAGACGATCATAGAATTTAAGGGTTGGAATGGACCTTACAGATCATGTAGTCCCAACCCCCTGCCCTGGGCAGGGACACCTTCCAGCTAGACCAGTTTGTTCAAGGCTTTATCCATCCTGGCTTTGAACACTGCCAGGGTTGGGGCAAACATGCTTTTCTGGACATATTTAAAGATAATTAATCTAGTAAGGCTTAAACCTTTGTGGTTTATAACCCTGCTTTGCTGAAACTTCCCTCAGTTTGAGTCCATTACCTTTAAGGTCCCTTTAAGGTCCCTTCCAACCTAAGCCATTTTTTGATTCTATGAAGTTAAAAAAAAATACAGGGTAGATTTTGTCAATATTCTTGTAAATTAAAGTCTCCTCCTAAGACAGGAAGTTTCTATGTTTGAGAAAAACCTTAGCTTTCTGGGTCAGAAGTGCCACCAGTCTTGCACAGGTGAGAGCCAGAAAGGTATAAGTCAGATTCTCCAGCATTGAATTTGAACACCTGAAAAATGTATTGAGCTTTCAGATAAAAACAGGCTGTAAGTTATGGGTAACCTGTAATCAGGTGTTTAAGAGGACGTCACAGGGTTACTGTTCTCCATTTCTAATCTTAGCCTTGAGGAATACCTGCTCAAGTTTGTCTCTTGTCAAGGAAACCTCTAAGGAGATGATGCTTTGCAGAGACAGTGGTCAGCCTGTGGTATCCTGGCCAGTCCTTGTGTTCCTGGTGTGTCCTGGTGACACACAGGGGACTAAGCAGTTACACTGGTGGGAAAGCTGTAGCTAACTTGCAGAATAGTTTGTGTGTGTATGTGCATGCAAATGTGAAAGAAGGCCTAATCAAAGGGCAGGGTGGATTCTACCCTCTGATCCTCTCAAGGACTTCAACACAAGTATTTTCTGCTGTTAGTAAAGTGGTTTTTATCAATATCTGCAAGCAACCAGTCAACCCACAGAACTTCCAACCTGATACACTATGAATGGCTTTTCTCTTGCAGGACAATGTATTTCAAGATTCACAAACAGGAAAGTTCCTTATTGTGTCAAGTTCAATCCTGACGAAGATAAACAAAATCTCTTTGTTGCAGGAATGTCAGATAAGAAAATTGTGCAGGTATGTCTACTCAATATTGATTCCTTCAAAAATTCTGGTATTTAGTAAAAAACAGGGTCTTATTCTGACTTTTTTACTCATAGTGGGATATTCGAAGTGGTGAGATTGTGCAGGAATACGATAGGCATTTGGGAGCTGTCAACACCATTGTGTTTGTGGATGAAAATAGAAGGTTTGTGAGCACATCTGATGACAAGAGTTTAAGAGTCTGGGAATGGTAAGTTTAAAATTTTGAATTTCAACTCAAAGTATATTATGAGCAAACTGAGGAGGGAGTTTATTTTTGAAAGTATGCATAGCACATAGGCCACTGCAGTGTACTGAGTTCTAGCTACCTGAGGAAGAGCTAGCTTTAAAATCCTGTTCTGTCCTAATGCTTGAGACACTTCATAGATTTCCTCTTCCCCAAAGAAAGCATAAGCCAGCCTGAAGCACACTACACTCTGTTAGTGGTGTCTGTTCTCTCTCCTTTCCCAAGGGTGTACTAGTCCTTAAACTGACCTGTTAAAGAAATGTCTGCTCTGTTACAATTGAGATGTGTTGGTTTTGAATGCTTTGAACTTGGACATGCATAGGATTATATATTTGACCCATTTTTGAAGTAACTAGTTCAGCCTAGCTTCATTTCTGGTTTTCTGGTAGCCTGTCTTTTTTGGCAATCATTGATACCCACGGTTTGACTACAATAGATGACAGAAGAGTAAGAGTCTGTATAGGAAAAAATTATAAGAAATATTTTAAATGGCTTCCAATTTTTAACATAGCTGAGGAGAAAACAGATCTCTCCTATCTGCAATGTTTTTCACAAGGTTCTAGGTGCTAAGATTTTTTCAAGTTAGGACATTTTAAGATTTTTCTAGAATTTGAAATTTACTTTTTAAATAATCCCTCCCATATCTTTGGGTATTCATTTCCATTTGCTGTTCACACATGCAAAAATGTTGCATAATACAGACACTAGCTCGACAGCTCTGTGACTAATCAGTTCCTTCCTAGCTTTTTTTTGTTGTTTTTAACCTAGACAAGAGACTCCAATCTGTGGTACTGGAATGTTACCCAAGCAGCCAGCAAAACCCTCAGCATGTCTGTGATGGGCTGCTAGCATTGCCAGGAACAGCAGTGGTAATGACCAAAGTCTGGGAACGCAGGCTTAGGCTAGACAGTAAATGCTGTCACCATATGTCACTCCAAGAGAGCCTCTGTTCAGCACTTCATATGGAGCCCCCTGCATTTACTGAGCTCCTTAAAGAAAAATCTTTACAGTATCATGTCTGCTGAGGAATGTCTCCTCTCTGGAGAGTGGGAGGATGATCTCGCACAAATCTGTTATTTCCTTGAGATTGGACTGGCCTTGTTTTATGAGCTTTGTGTTGATGGCTGAAATAAATAGTGAAGTGGGTGGATTTAGTCACTCTGTGGGGAAGAGCAGGAAAGGCAAAAAGGTTCTGGCATGGGAACATTGCAACCTGATTGTTCCAGTAGCAAAAGTTTTTTTCCTTCTGAAGAAAAATAATATGTACTGAGCTTGTTGCACACTGAAGAAAGAGCTCCCTTGTTCAAATAATAGGGGAATATTCTGTAATGCAGTTGTTGGGGGTTTTTTTGGTTTTATAAAGAGCAAATGTAATGGCATCTTCCTGGGCATGACCTGAAAACCTTTCCCCACAACCTGCTCTGATATATGTTAGTCAGTCTGTAGACATATTTCTATAATTTCGTGATCCAGGTTTCTAAAATGCCTTAAAACTAAGTTCATACATACACTGTGGAAGATTTTTGAGCTTGAAAACTTCCATGGCAAATTAATTCTCAAATCCTTTTTTCCTAAGTTTGTTAGAAAAATTATTTGCTGCTTAGAGGTGATTTGGTTACTGTACCTTTTGGCACATTTCTTCATGTGTTCCTCAGCACACTGTTTCTTCAGTATCCTACAGAAACGAATTGGAATTAATTATGACCTGAATATGGCCTTAGAAGCCAGTAACATAAAAGCTGGTCTAATTGCTTCGTTTTAATTGTCTAGAGGAATTTTGTAGTGTGTTTTGTAAACACTTTTTGACTTGGCCAGAGCTGGTAATGGGATGACATGTCTGACTTTGTCGCAGTGAGGAACTTCTGAGAATTGAAATCTCCTTTTCCCAAAGAGTTCATCCCATGCACAGATTCCACTGTGCTGTACACAGAATTGCAGTTGGTTAGTTGCTGAAAGTTCAGCCTGCAAGTATGGCACAGACTCTTGCAGGTTAAATGGTTTATTTAGGAATCTCAATGGGAGTACTTGAAAATTTTCTGCTTCTGCATTTCATGTGATTGTATCACTACAGCAGGGATATAAAGTTGCCATGGATATCATGCTCTGTGTCCTTTCTTCTAGAAAGGCAACGTTATTTTGTCTTTAGCCACTTCATATGCATCTGATCCTGCTTGGATAAACAGTTAAATGATTTGGTCATTTGACCTTGGAGACTTTTCTTGCCTTTTACCTCTGAATCAGCTAGCAAAGCAAGAACTGTACAGTGGTAACTTGGTTATTATGCTGACAGGCTTGGGAGGCTTGTCATGTCTGTAAGGCTGTGCCCCTCAGCAGGCCTGTTCTCTGTTCCTGGTAGCAACACTAGTCTCCTGGGAGCTCTTCATTAAGTGTAGATCACAGAATTGGATTGGGTTGGACTTGGGGTTTGGAGTCTTCTTCTTTTGTTAAGAAGAGATTTCCCTCTCCTGCTTGGGAAAGAAGTTGTATTAGAACCCCAGAGTATAATGTTTTTAAATCTTGGCTAGCAGATATCACTTTCAGTATTTAAAACTTTTCAGCCTTTGAAATGCTATGAAGTGGCAAAAGGACTTGAAAATCTTAACATTTAAAAAAAATCACCAAACAATATATCACATGAATTTTGAGGCTGAGCAACTATGGCAGCATCTTTCTTGGAAAGGTCTTCTTAAGGGAGCAGGCTGATATTAATCAGCAATTTTGACTGGAAGCAAATGTGAAACATAAATATCTCCTCTATTCTGCCTAATAGTTTAATACAGCATATCCTGCAGCTGTTCTAAGTGTGGACAACCTGTGCTGCATTTAAATTTCTGACTGCAGTACAGTTCATCACTGGAGCTGCACTTTCTGTGATAAGACTTTGTTTAATGGGGTGTCCAGTGGGGTTGACTTTCCCTGGCTTTGAGGATTTGGGATGATCAGTGGTCTGTGAGAGGTGGGAGCTGATCAGACCTGGTCTTACTGGAGTGATAACCTTGTCCTGTTGCAAGTGGGGATTGAGACTTTGGGTAGGATGTGGCATGGGGGCTGCACTTCTGTGCTGTCATCTCGATCAGCCTCAGAGAGTATATGGACTTTTTGTTACTCCTGTACGGATTTACTGCCCAGTGGTAGCCTTAGGGCTGCCTGTTTGAAAGCTCTCCCTGCATGTGCTTTCATCCACAGTGTATTAACTGGGTTGCCTTTCCTATTCTGAGGGGAAAATGACTTTAACATTTATCTCATAGGAGCATTTGTGTTGCTTCCTGACAACAGAGCAGCTTCTCACCCTGCTGCCCATGTGCGTGTTGCTTAACGCAAGATGATGGGAAATAACTTAGCCCACAATAAGCCAGGATTGTAATTACCTTGCTAATGTCAACTGTGTTCTGTTAGCTCAGGCAGACAATCAGCCACCCACGCTGTGTGCTCAGATAGTGTCCCAGCAGCCTTTCTGCTCCGTGAATTAGACAATGAAGACATAAACATCCCCTTTGTATTAATTAATGTTGATGCAGAACATTTTGCATGTGTTTTCTGCTGAATACATTAATCAGTTCTATTTTCTGCTGGAGGTTTCCTTTGCCTAATGAGAAAGCCATGTGCATGTCTTCCCTTCACGCTGTGTGCTCAGATAGTGTCCCAGCAGCCTTTCTGCTCCGTGAATTAGACAATGAAGACATAAACATCCCCTTTGTATTAATTAATGTTGATGCAGAACATTTTGCATGTGTTTTCTGCTGAATACATTAATCAGTTCTATTTTCTGCTGGAGGTTTCCTTTGCCTAATGAGAAAGCCATGTGCATGTCTTCCCTTTTTGCCAGCCTTCCAACATGGGGTATGAGGAATACTGTAAATATGCACCAACCGTTAGTAATTCAATTTATGTAGTCAAAACCAAATGACAGATCTGTGGAGTAAGGATTAGACTGTACTTGGTTTTTCCTTAGGCCTTTGTACGGGACAGTGTATGTTAAGAATGTACTGGCACAGTCCTGTATGCAGTAGAGCCCAGGGAGTTCAGTTCAGCTGTGAACATTTGGAATTGGTTGGCATCCCATCTGGGGAGATCAGGAGGAAAAGGGCATTGTCTGAGAGATGAGAGAGGCTCCTGTTTTCTTTTCCTTTTAAAAAAATAGAGGGGAAAAAAAGAGGGAAAAAAAGACAGAAATCTTCTAGTTAAAACTCAAGTCAGTAAGATATTCCAATAAGATACATATATATCAGTCTATTCTTGCTACTTGTATAAGAATTTTGTAAGAGTTGTAGTTGTAATGGAGGCAATAAAGTATCTTTGTGTTAAATTTTTATTCCTAACAGTTGCAGTTATGATTCTGCTTTAGGCTCTGGGTCATCTGATTGGGATAAATTCATGCTGTCAGAGGTTATGCTGTAGTTGGCTCTGCAGTTGGAGCTCTCCAGCTGGACATTCATAATGGTTTTGAGCTTTTGCATATTCTTCCTTTGGACACCTCCATGGTTCAGTTGCTGAGTAAATCAGCTGACTGGAGGCAGCTCTTTGGAACATCTCCATGTCATAAAGCACATGCTTCTTCCTTTTGCAGGGACATTCCTGTAGACTTCAAGTACATAGCTGAGCCAAGTATGCATTCCATGCCAGCCGTGACTTTGTCTCCAAATGGTAGGTTAACACTTTGCTGCCTTCTTAGGCCTAACTTACACAGGCATGTCTTACTGTTTGTATCTCTGTAATGTGGCTGTGTTGCATCCCCCTGTCTCCCACTACCTCCTCCCTTCAATCACTGTGTGCACTTATTCCAAGATTGGACAGGTTTTAAGTCTTAAGAAGAACAAGTATGTTAACATCAGGGTTTATATCAGGGTAACTGCATCAATAGAAAATTAGACCTCGATCCAGAGAGGGCAGAAAGACTCTTCCTTTTCATAGAGCTACCATTGCTCTTTGCTGTATTTAAAATACTAAGAGAAACAATGGTGGAAACTGACAGTGGCTGAGAAGTACTAAGGAAGTTCAGCAATCCTTGTGGTGCCACTGTTAAACAGAAACTGATGTTGTACATGATCCTATTCCTTTTGTTCTGAATATAGCCCAAATAACTGTCGTGTGAGAGAAATCCCAAATTGTCTCAGTGTTTCTGTATGTTAATGTTTCTGTTCTTCAATTAGAATCATCCTGAAGGAGGATAGAAATTTAGTGCCTCAAGTAATCAATGAAAATCCTTCTAACAGGACAAAACTTATCTGTTTTGGCCAAATTTAAATAGCTTTGGTGTCAACATTACTAAAGTGTTGCCAGATTAGTAGTTAACAACCCCATAATTGAGTGGTTGCTGATCAACTTGTTGCACTGGTAACGTTTTCAGCCAGTTGTCTGCACCCAATTGTATTTGCTTTGCAGTGTAAATATCTTATTCTTAGCAATAGAAGTGAGTTCCTAATATTAAAAGAAAGATTCTGGAGAAAGAGGCAGCTGCATTTGAAAAATATTAGCTTTCCACATTGGCCTTTGGCAACCCCTGTTTTGGAAATTGCACACCTTGTCTACTGTAATTCCTTCTGAGCAGTGCAGGAAACACATCTTCTAGAAAGTAAAGAGGAAACCAGCATACTTGGGGTCCACACTCCATTTGTTTCTTTGCAAGGCTGGAGAAAATCCTCTAATTCCAAACAAGCAGCAGGAGTGAGATCAGATGTGCAGTCAGGTCAGCACATCTTGTGTTGTCACTGTGTGTGTAAAACACTGTGAAGGCAGTGATGATATGCAGAGTTCAGGGCAGGAGTTAATGCACTGCCAAGAAGCAAACGAGATAGAGCTAAGATTAGAAAAGCCTGGGTTTTTTCTTTCACTGAGATATCTCTTAATTGCATTCCACTAAGGCAGAGAATGCTAAACAGTTGCAAAAATTAAGTATTTTCAGACTCCTGAGTTTACCTTGAACCTGTTTTTCCCATAAAGAAAATGAGGTGATTGTCTTAGAGTACCCACAAAATAGGTGGTAAAATACATTGCTGCTAGATGGGTTTTTCCCCCTGACCTGAGTTCCCTGATTATGTGCACCAGCAAACTTACTCAGGAGCTTAGAAACTGAACAGTAAGTCAGTGAGGTTGATGCAGCACATTACTGCAACAGCCAGAGCTATACCAGGTCCTGAGTTTTGTAGGAGTATCATCCCAAATCCTGCCGAACATGAGGTTTTGACTCTTGGCAGTTGCACCAAGCAGAAGCAAGATCAGCTGCTACCTAGAAACCTGCTATGTAATGAAAATCTGGATTAAGGCAGTGCAAGAAAAGTTACACAAATCTCTTAAAGCATTCCATTAAGTCTTGTTGCTTTGGATGCAGCACCCTGACACCACTGTGTTCATTGCATTTACAGGGAAGTGGTTGGCTTGCCAGTCGATGGACAACCAAATTCTGATTTTTGGAGCTCAGAACAGATTCAGATTAAATAAGAAGAAGATTTTCAAAGGTCACATGGTAGCTGGCTATGCTTGTCAAGTGGATTTTTCACCTGATATGAGGTAAGTGCTTGTGGGAATGAGCTTTCCCTTTAAACTTGCAGGTACAGACACTAAATTTCTTTTTGAATCCTCTGCAGCATTCATGGATGCACAGCCATCCAATTAGCTCAGCATCAGACAGAGTTCTCTAGCCAGGCAGCAGAACAGAAAGTTTACTCTTAGCATTTGATTAAGGACTAAGTTATACTGCGTGATTGCTCTGAACAACATTTAGAAAACAATCTGTGTAGTCCAGATCCCTCATTCTGCAGAGCTGATTTATGCTGCCCTTAAACCATCTGGAGACTCCCCTGGTTTTGCCTAGCCCTGGTGCAGCACAGGAGGCTTTGTCTGACTCACATCTGTCTCACCTGACACGTGGCCTGCAGGGTATGCAGGGTCTATTCCTGGAATATGCACTTGTCTAGAGTGCCTGGGATTCAAACTTGACCAGTCTTCCCAGTCTGCAGGTCTGGTGTGAGTATCTTCATTTATTGTTCAGTGACACATCTTCATCCCGCTGGCTTAGTACTATGCACACATTTACTGTGGTATGTACATAAGATACCAATTACTGCAAAACTGGAGAATAACCTCAGCAAAACTGGAAGAAAAGGTGGAGAGAAGTGTCTATACATTTCAGGGAAACTTTTGGCACTTTCCCTTTTGCTGATGTATTCTCTTTGGTTCCAGTAACACAGGGTATGGTATAATTGCATTGCTTAGCATATTTACCTCACAGCTGATGAATCACCTTCTGCAGGACTTGTGTTCTGTGCAGTGAGTGCTAATTCTTCAGGAGCTGTGTCTGCAGGTTGTCAGATGTGGAGCTCACTGGGCAAAGCTCTGGTCTGTTGCTCAGTGTAACAGTATTGTAATACAAACAGTCTTTACACATGATACAATGTCGTTATTTTAATCCTGTTAATATAGCTACGTGATATCTGGAGATGCAGATGGGAAACTTAACATCTGGGACTGGAAGACAACAAAACTCTACAGCAGATTAAAAGCACATGATAAAGTCTGTATTGGTGCAGTGTGGCATCCACACGAGACATCCAAGGTCATTACGTGTGGCTGGGATGGTCTTATTAAACTGTGGGACTAGAGAGGATGCTACAGAGATCTAAAGATGTGAGATTAGAGTGAATTCTGCTGCAAGGATTTGTAATACTGCAGTTCTCAGCTTGCTGTATATATGCACCAAAACCCAGGAAATATTCCAAAGACACAAGTGAAAGGATCCAGTTCTAAGTGTGTCCTCTGGGTGTGAGAAGCTGAGGCCACCTGAAGCATGCAGAATCACATGTTGGTCTGTCTTGTCACTGCTTGTGCAAAACACTCTTGTAAAATAAAATAATTTTAAGGAAAACTATTTTTTTTGTGGTTCTGGCTGTCGTAGATGTGGGGAAGTGAAAGGAGAAAACCAGCAATTATGTAACTTTCTTCCTAAGAAGAAACTTTTGATACTTACTGCAATGGAACTGGAAAAGATGCATTTGTTCACCTGGTTTTTGGGTGGAATTTTGTTGTCACCAAAATACTTTTGCCTTTATAGAGCACAAACCCACTTGCTGAGATTTGTTAATACACAGTAGAAATGAAGAACTAATTGGAAGGTAGCAGTTGTCAGGTAAACTGCATCAACTGAAGCCTCTATTCATAGTCTGAGTTTCTGTCTGTATTTAACAATAGCATCATGATGATCACTGAGTTTCGTCTTTGCAAGTAGTCCTCATTTTCAAGATTTTGCTTGTAATGCTTGTGTGCTACATGTTGGGTTTTTGTCTTCCCATGTACTGTTCTGTTCAATAAGCATGACATTAAAAACACAGTGAATGTCTCTTGTTCAGTTTGAAATAGTTTGTATTATAATCCCCATGAAGGTTTTGACAATTTGATGTATATACATGTCACACTTTTTCTCTTTAAAGAACTTATTTTTAATAAATCTTTTTATAAAAAGTCTTTTTATCTTTATTCAATTCTTCTGTCTTGCAGTGTCCATATAAAATATCTCCTACCATTTGGTGTTTTAATTAGCAGTTGTACCAGTGTTCACATAAACTCATTCTCTTGCAGTGTTCATTTAAAACTAAGAGTAGGAGAAAGAAAACCCTCTCAGCTCCCTGTCTGCTGTTTTTGAGTACATACTGGAATAAGAACATGTAACAAATTTTATCCCATTGGACAGTCTTTACTGACAGTTTTGAATTACACTATATTGCTTACTATAAATCCAATCACTGCTCATCCATTATAAACAACAGCAAAGGAATAATTCCCTTAACTGACAGCAGGATAGAAGCTGAGGGAAAGAATCCTAGATTGTGTAGATGGAAGGAAATGAGTTGGTTGTTTTGTGGGTTTTGGATTGTTTGTCTGATTACAAGACAATTCTGGTCTCTCAGACAGTTCAAGTTAGGCCCTTGTGAGTGAATGTGGAGCTTAGGCATTTTTAGACCAACTCTCTAAAGCTGAGCTCAAGTCATTCTGCTCATACCTTCATGTAACTGCACCAGGTTTGCATGTTTCTGTTCACTTTCCCATCTCCAGTAGCCTTGAGTACCTGAAAAAGTCCACACACTGTCTTCACAAGCAGCACAGTGGTGGGAACTGGGTTTTGCCCAGCCCTGTGTAAGTACTGAGCTAGGAAAAGGTAGAGCCTGGAAAGAGAGAGGAAAGAGCTGGTCTGGCATGTCCCAAGGACTGATCCTCTGCAGGGAGAGAAGAGGCTGTTTCTGTTCTCTGCTCTGCAGGATGTGGGTGGGAAAGAGCTGCTGCTGTCTCACAGAAGATGAATTTCCAGCATGGTGCTTTTCACAGGGAAGGTTTGATTGCTAAGCTGGGAGTTGAGCTCTGGTGTGTACTGTGTCCTGGGTGCTGCTTCAAGAGAAGGGAGGCTGAAGTAATTTGGAACGGTTTTCTTCCTTCAAATACACTTCCTAAAGGGATATGTGGCAGTGTGCCCTGACCATTAACAGTTTATATGTACAGGGAATTAGGAGAGGAGGGATAGAACAGGTAGAAGAGCTTCTCACAGGAACACATATTAGCTTTCACATCAGAAACACCTTTCCCAAATGCTTAAAAGCCTTTGAATCATAATACACAAAATGCTTGGCTCTGTAGTTGGTACTTTGTTTTTCCATGTGTCACCTACTAGGCAGGACTTTGCACGTACACACATATATGTATAGATAAAGTATAAAAAATAAGCATATAAACTCTTGTAGTAAAATACTATGTGTTGCCTTTGGAGAAAAAAAAATGAGAAATGTTTCAATCAAGTCTGCTGGAGTTGATGAATTGGGATTGAAAGTTTGCAGCAAGCTCAGAATCAAAATTCCCCTGGAACTTTCAGATAAAATCCTTTGTCCCTCACAGTTGGTCACCGCGTTAATCTTTTGTGGAATTTCTCACATCTGCACTGAAGCCTGCAGGGGGAATTTTTATGAGGATAATTCCCTCTTGTCTGCTTGAGAGTTGCAAACTGCAAAGCTCACATTGTCAGTTAGTTTGCTGTGCACAAGGATAGACAGCATGTATCAGTGCAGTGGGAGTCTAGACTTGTCTTTCCAACAGTCACCTGGGAGGAGATTTCTGTCAGGGCTAATTAACTCAAATCATGTCCTTCCCAATTTCATGTCTCACCAGAAACTGGTCTGTTACAAGTGTTGGTCAGAGCAAATCAAGTCTGAGACCCTTAGGCTGACCTTGGTGTGTGAGCAGAGCCAGGGCAAAGGCAGCATTGGGAGAAAAGGGAAAACTGCGTTTCGAGTCCTCACAATTTATTCTCCTCTGACATCAGGTGGAGAACACAACATAGTGATTCAAGCTGAAAGGAGCATCTTGGGAGGGCTGGAGGCAAGTGTGTTGCACTGCCAGGAAGGAATCCAGGCAAGCTGGAGTGCAGGGCTGTCGTCACAGCATCGTGACTTTGTTCCCCTTGATCATGCATCTGTAACTTTCAGAAATGACATGCCAATATGTTGCTACTTTTATTAATACAGATTACTTTTACCGTGCAAGTTTTACAGATCAACCATCTTCATCATTCTTGGAGTTCTGCCTAGGAAACTTGATAGTTCCTTTGGCCTTCTGCCAGCTTTTTCTTGGCCTTTTCTTTCATATGTGAGAGGGGGAACTATCCCACATATCCTCGTGCACTTGCTGTAAGGAGGCTGACTGTCTTGAAGCAGATGGTCCTGACATCTGCCTTGCTCAGAGTTTATAATTGTCCCCAGTAAGATGGGGCTGCTCAGTCTTTGCCCTCATTACGAAGACAAACATCTAAACTGCTGTACATCCAGAGAAGTCCAAGATGCTCTAGTAAAAAGCTGGTTTTAGCAGCAGGCAGATGTTGGAGATACCATTTAACGCTGTGGTCTTTAAGGGCTGATTTAAACGGAGCCTTGCAGCTCCGACAGCCCAGTAACACGATGTACTTCCCTGCTTTCCACCAGCTGGTTATTACAAAATCCTGCTCCCATTTGCTGGGAAGGCTCCATATGACAAGCAGCCTGCATGAGGGGGAACACGCGGAGAGCGGAGGAGGGAGGGGAGTTTTGCTTGGAAGACTTTAAACAGTTGAACCTATACAGCAGAAAAATCAGTTGCCAGGGAGGTTGTTCCTCTGGAGACTGCTTAAGGACTTGTTACTGTGGGTTGACTTTGCTAGCATACACTCAAAATTGAAGTCTCATATTTTGCAGTAAAATATGTCTTTTCTGTCAGGCTTGCTGATAAGCAAAACAGACACCACGGCTGTCTTGCAGCACTCAGAGAAAACTCTTGTGGCAGGGTTATGTTTACTGAAACTGCTTGCAGAGTTTAAAGCTTTCAGAAACAAGTTGCAATGACTCTCAATGGGCCATGGACCTGTAAATCTGCCAGGTACACTGAAGTTTGACCTCAGACTGTTTGTTATCGTGTTGTATGACAGAACTTTTAAAACATGTTGAATGCGAAAGCACTGAGCCTTTCTGGGGCTTCCTTTGACCTGCTGTGCTTCATGCCCCTGGGACACTGCTGAAATCAAATGTTGCTGCAGATAATGCTCAGTCAGAGTAAGAGGTTCTCATTAGGCCATTTTTGGTTAGTGTGAAAGGTGTCAAGACTAACTGAGCCTATTTCTCTGGTTTGTGAAAGGAAGACAACAACTCAAATCTTCTAGGGAGTCATTTCAGTAATAGGAACTTTATGGAGCTTCAAGACCATTGACAGTTACCCAGACATGGCTCTGGGAGCTGCAAATCTTTCCCATTCTCCCAGAGGAACAGCCCCACAGTTGATGTCTTGCTCCTACAGCCCAGCTAAGCTCTTTAATTGTGGGATAAGTTTTTTGGGTTTTTTTTTTTGGTGAAGTTTAAACTTTTGTAAAGCATCAATCAAAAAATGCAAAAATGCCCTCTCCTAGAATCATAGAATCATCAAGGTTGGAGGAGACCTCTAAGATCATTCAGTCCAACCATTAACCTGGCACTCTGCTGTAACCCCTAAACCATATCCTCCTATGTCAGCTCCAGACACCTCTGAAATGCTCCCAGGGATGGTGACTCCACCACCTCCCTGGGCAATCTGTTCCAGTGCCTGAACACCCTAACAGGGAAAACATTTTTCCTAATATCCAATCTAAATCTTTCCTGTCTCACCTCATGGCCATTCCCTCTAGTCCTCTCAGTGCAGGTGTAGCAGAATAGACCATCCCCAGCTCTCTACAATCCCCTGTCAGGTAGAAAGCTCCTAGAAGAGCTGTAACAATTTAACTTCCCACCTTAGCTTGCACCAGGATAATTTCCCCACGCAGCTGAGCCTTTGCTCATCCAGGCTAGTTGTTTATATTTTGCTTCCCCATTCCTGTACAGTCTGGTTCATTTAGCTCCTCCTCATGTACTCTGTAAAACATTATCCCTTCCAATATTCTTTCCTCAGGAGGCAAAGAGGAAAGTCAGACCCTGAAGTCACTTGTCAGGTCAGACATATACAGCAAAAAGAAGAAAGGCCCATTCCCTGGAGCTTTCAAAACCACACTGAGTTTTGTCAGAAGAGCTTCCCTGCAGCAAGCTCCTGCCTCTGCTCTGCTGCTGACCCTTTGGAGTACTTTGGGGCAGCAG